TTTTGTATCATATACATTGTATTATATTGTGTATTATATTGTATTGTGTTTTAGTTTTTGTATTGTGTGTTTTGTATTTTGTATTATGTACACTGTATTTTGTATCATATACATTGTATTATATTGTGTGTTTTGTATTTTGTATTATGTACGTTATATTTTGTATCATATACATTGTATTATATGTGTATAGATGTATAATATAATAATTAACAATTGATAATTATACAATACAGTAATTATGTATTGTAATATATACATTATATATAGTTGTTTTACAAACATTTATTACATTTCTCTATATATGTACATTCTGTACATTTATTTCTTATAAATTTATTGCACTGTCGTAGAGTCTGTATATTTTATACATTTATTACGTATGTATATATTTTTGGTCATTCGTGTTGTTTCTATGTTTCATTTGTATATTTAAAGTTTATGTGCGTTGATATATTTGTACATTTCACGTATTTCTTAATTAACAATATTTAAGTAGTAAAAAAATATAATAACTATTTAACAATAAACAAATAAAATAACAAATAATATTAACTACTAATATTCAACTAATAATATTCAATTTTTAAGTAGTTTTGCTTATCTCAACCCTTGTGTTTCATATTAAACACTTTATATTTATCTACCATTTCTTATGTTGTTAAAACATCATAAAATTATTCTCGATCCATATTATATTTATATTAATAATATTGTACAAAAATTTATTATTAATTTTTATTATATTAATCCTTAAACACATATAATTATATTAATCCTTAAACATATATAATTTTCACTGCAGAACTTGACAAGTAGCTTTTCCTTATAAAATCAAACCTATGTTTGAAAGTGTAATATAAGCGTACGTACTAGATACAGAATAGGTATTTACATATGCATATATATTACACAAGTTATTCAACCTCATTATCTTATAAGCCCATTCACGCGAGCCATGGAATATTTAACTCTCAACACATTTCCCTAACGCGAGATTAAAGTCCCTAGCTAGAAGACGAATTATTAATCATACGGTAATCACTACACATCAGTTACTAGCAGGCTTAAATTCAAGAAAGTAGAAATCTATGCCACTTTGTCTGACTTTTAGTGCTATAACAGTCTAACGTGATCAATATAAACGTCTCACCTATGTCCTTTCAGGCCAGCGTTTCTACACGCCGCGTTTTCTTCCTCGAGACAGAAACTACGTACAGGGTAGAAAGAAAAATTCGCCTGTGACTATCATAGAATTATACACTCTCGATTTGGATGGAAATGTAAAGAACCTGATTCTTTTCAAAATTTCAAAATTCTTTTGAAAAATAGCAAGAAAATAAATTTCTTAATCATTTGACGTTTCGAACGCGTACGTTCTAACAGCGACTTTATGATA